GAGGCAAAGGAGTCCTCTGTTCCTCCATTAGCATCACGCAACGTCCTGGTATGCCCAGGGCCATCCTGGCTTTAGCACCAAAAATCCCATGTCCCACTACTACTCATCTCACTCCCTGGACTAACTGCATACATGCCAGACGGGATGGGGGCCCTGCCAGGTCCTCTTCTGTGGCTGTGTCCCCAGGCCTCAGCTGTAGGAGTGCTGGCTGCTACTGACTCCCCTTTTCTGGAGAGGTGCCCTCAGCTGACGGGACCCAACTTGCGCCAGAGATGCCCTCTCAGTGGCTGGTCCACAGTCAATGAGTTGACCGAGGCAAGGGGGCCTATCTGTGGTGCAGGTCCTGCTCTGGTAGCTTCCATGGATCAGGCCTAGGTTAGACTCTGCTGAAGACTCTGTCCTTGCTCAGGTCCCTCTCCTTCTCTCTCCTGTTTCCCTCCCTCTCCTGTAAGTTTCTCTTGAGAGTGGTCCCTGGATACACCTTATGCACCCAAATCCTTGTCTCAGGCTCTACTTCTAAGGAACCCAACCTAAGGCCATGTCGATGTACCCGTTGTCATGGAGAAGTGTCCTTCCCTCCCGGCTTTTCACCTGAGTCTGCAGATGCAGGCCTTTAGGAGCACCTGGCTTGGAGAGGGGGCTACCGGGAGCAGTGTGCCCCATATCAACCTCACAGCTGGGCAACTCTGGACAATTGACACACATGCTCGGTGCCCAATTTTCTTACCCTGTAAGATGGGAGTAATAATAGTACCTCCTCCAAGAGGTTGTTGGATTGAGTGAGTTCATGTATGCAATGAAAAGCACCCGCTTTAGTAATTGCTCAATAAATGTTAGCTATCATTATAATAGGAATTAAACGATAAATCTTATTTGCAATCTCGTTCTTGCTCATCAAGCCCCTGCCAGCCTCCTTTCAGTGCCTAGACCAGCACTTCTCAATCCTGACATCATGGACATTTTGGGCTAGATAATTGTTCTTGGGGCCTGGGGTGTCCTGTGCATTGCAGGGTGTTCATTAGCATCCCCGGCCTCCATCCACAGATGCCAGCAGCACCCTCCATCCTCAGGTTTGGTAACTAAAAATGTCCCTAGACATTGCCAAACTTTCCCTGTGGGACAAAATCACCACCAGCTGAGAACCACAGGCCTGGAACACGTTGCGATCTTCTTTCCCCATGACTCTGCATATGTCTTTCTTTCTGCCTGGCATAGGGTTCCTCCTGCTCTTCCCTCAGCTGGCTCCTTCTCATCCATCCTTGTCTGCCTAAATGTCTCTTCCTCCAGGAAGCCTTCTCTGACCACCTCATCTTCCTGTCTGCACTCGTGGCAGGTTTCTTCCATGGCTTTTATCACCATGTGGCATCAGTCCATTTATTTGTCTGTTGAATTCTGTTTGTCCCTCCCGCTAGAGGGGGTGGGCAATCCTCTGGAGCAGAATCCGCATCCAACTCGATTGCTGATCTGTCCCTGCAGCCAGGCACAGGGTGGGCACAGAGCAGACCCTCGCTCAGCGAGTGTGCTGGATGAACGAACAGCTGGCTTGTCCAGGGCACAGGTTGCCCGCAGCCACGGGGAAGCTTACCTTCTGGACGGTGAAGGTGCGTATGACGTACTCCGCCAGGGGCTCTGTCTCAATCAGGCTGACTTTAATGTCCCCGTAGACCTCCGTGTCATCCGGCCAGTATCGCACACACTTCACCTGTGAGGAAGGGCAGAGACAAGGATGGACGAGGGCGTGGCCGAGCGTGAGCAGCCGCCTCGTCTGGCCTTCCTGGTCCGATAAACCCGAGGGCGATTTGGGTGGAATTTCGGTCCAAGGGATTGTCAGCTGGCCGGGGACTGGCAAACTGCACAGGGCCACGCCCGCTCCCAAAGGCCCTGGAGCCATTAGGAATAATGGTAGTACCTTCTTTGGCAGAGCTCCTTAAAATCTCCAAGTCCATTATCGTACTAGGTGAGCGAAGTGATCAAGGTGAGATAGGCAGCTGGTATTACCCCATTTACAGATGGAAACAGAGCTCAAGTTTGGAGGTCAGACAGCTGGTCCCAGGTCACGGGGCCAGTTTTCTACCTCTGGCTGAGCCCTTTTTCTGCTAGATCAGGTGGGGCAGCGGGGCGGCGTCAGTGGAGCAGAGATGAGCATAAAAGTGGGAAGCAGTGAGGGGGTGGAAGCAGAGGGGTGGGGAGAGGGCCATTACTATTCAGAGGTGGTGACTGGGGGCTGGAAGGAGAAAGGCTCTCGGTTGGGAGAAGGATGCGAGGAGCGGGACTAAAAGGGAAGAGTCCACACAACGGCTCTCTGCCCGGGCGGTGGGTGCAGATGCCGGTGACAAGCCAGTCCCACATTGGACTCTAGGTCACACTCCGCGGGACGAGAAAGAGATCATTGTTTTCCCCTAAAAAGAACAAAAGCATTACCATTCCGGGGGACGCCGCGCGGCCTAGAGTGGCATTTCCCACAGTGTGTTCCGCTGGGTGCTAATAGGTGTTAGGTAAAAAAAAAAAAACAAGAAACAAAAAAAACAAACAAACAAAAAAAGGTTTTGTGGTCAAATGAGTTTGGGAAATGCTGGATTAAACAAAGTTAAACAGGCCGCTCTGCTACAAGACTCCTCAGCTCGTTGAACGTGCTAACGCTAATGTGTTTTCGACTCTCCGAGAGGGGCAAACAATACACAGCATTTCCCAAACGTATTTAACCATGGAACCCTCTTCTCACTAGGCATCCTGCAGACTAGCATCCCATGGAACCCACTTAGGGAAACGCTGGTATAGCGCAACAGGCTTGGCAGGCAAACGGATGCATTGCTTGGTTCTAACGCTTAGCAGCTGTGAAGCTTCCAAAAAGTGCTGAAATCTCTCTGAGGCTCAACTTCCTATTAATACAGATAGCTAAAGCTTACTGACAGCTTATAGTGTCTCAAACTGCTTGCTAAGTGTTCTTACCTGTATTATTTTAATCGCTTATCACTACAACCTCTACAGATATGATTATCACCCCGTTTTACGGATGAGGAATCAGAAGCATTGAGAGACTAAGAAAATTGTCCAAAGTCACGAAGGGATGGAGCCAGGATGCAAAGCCAGGCCACCTGAGTAATTACCAGAAACACTGCCTCGTGCAGTTGTTGGAATCAAAATGAAGTAATGCACAGGGAGAGTCAGGCATGGTGTTTGGCTCCTAGCAGGAGTTCTGTCAAGAGACTGCTCCCCTGTTCCCTCCCCAAATCCAAATTAGATTCACGAACTGTCCATCGAGGGAATCTGTCTCCAAGATGAGATATGTTATAGAATGGGCTGGAATTTGCCTCTGAATTCTTAAATCCTAGCCTGGCCTTTTTGTCCACAGTAGCTGCTCCCTGGGCCTGGGTCCTTGGGGAGCAGTTGTGAGTGGAGGGGCCACGACACTAGCATGAGAGTTAAGAGTCAGAGATCGTGGCCGGGCTCTGGCTGGAGGACTAAGGGGTAGATGCTCCAGCCCCTCGGGGCCTGTTTCCTCATCTGTAAAGCCGGGGAAGGGATGAGGTGAGAGTGAGCTCAAGGATAAAGTCTCTCTCGGCCCTAGAACCCTATGAGGCCACGAGATGTCCACAGCCCTTTCCTGGATTATGATGACAGCCCAGATTCTCTCTTTCCCATGATCTTGGAGGCCAGGACTCTTTATTTTAATGGGTTATCTAGTTCTTTGCCAAAACAAAAACTTACCTGCCCACTCTTCGGTTAGTTCCTACGGTAAGTAGAGAAGCCCTCTTCCTTCTAGTGTTGTGCACCCTGCCTTTCAACCCAGCAAGCCCACCCACCCACATGCCACAGTTTAGGAAGTGAGCAAAAGCAAGCTGGGCATAGCAGTCCCATTTCCAAGCCCTAGGAGTAGCTAAGGACGACGTAGGAGAGAGTTGAGATAGAGCAGAGCAGGAGACCAAGGCCTGAACCCTGAGGAATATCAAGGTTTAGAGGTAAGGGAGCAAAGGGTCGGATGCTCTGAGGGGCTGAGTTCGATGAGAAGAAAGAAGTGGCAGTTGGATTCGTCAACATGAAGGATGCTGGTGATACTGACCGTCTCACTATGGGTGGGATGGAGAGGGGAGAAGAGAACTGGAGTGGAGAAACAGAGCCTGTGTATGAGTCTTTAGAGTCTGGCAGAAAAGTGGGGAGAAGAGAATCCTTTTCATTTGCCTGTTTTGTATTTTCAGGGGGAAGGCACTCAGGATGTTCCGTAGGTTCAGGGGAATAATCTAGCAATGAGAAAAAGAGTTACTCTTCGAGTGAGAGGGGAAATGAGAAAATTCTTGCATAGAATCTGTGATACAAGGCACTGGGATTGCCCTTGAAAGGGCAAGAGTCACTTCTTCCATAGAAACAGCAGATAGTCTACCATTTGGGTCAACAAAAACGGCCATGTTTTATGGTTCACCCTGATAACAGAGGGGAAAAATGAGAAGATGGCTGTAGATGCAAGTAGGATTGTGGCTTTGTGGTGTGAAGATGAGCGTTCACGTCCGATGGCTTTCATTTCCCCAAAGGGTATGAGATGACATCATCAACGGAGCGAGGGTGGAGAAAGTGATGACGCGGAGGGAAAGGCTATATTCCCCGAATGGGAAGCAGGGGTGAGGATTTCTCCCACGCAGGTCGTTGTGAGGGTGAAGTGTTGAGTGGGGGCACATGCCATAAGGCACAGAACAGAGAGATGCTCGGGAGGGCAGGGCCAGCAACCTCTGTCCAGGTAACTGCGGGAGGGGCTTACCCTGCCCACTTCCACGAGGTTCGTGACCATGACGATGCTGGCCGAGTTCTCCTGCCAGATCATTCTCCAAAAGTCCTTGACGGTCTCCTGCATCGGACCTGCCGACAGAGAAGGTGACAGGGTCAAAGACCACAAGTGCACGGAGGCAGCCAAGAGGCCGTCCCTCCTGATTGGTCGGTCCGGGCTCCGCACAGGGGAGCGAGAGCGAGGCCGGATGATTCTCGCCGGGACACCCGAGTCACTGAGACCAGGGCCAGAGTATGGAAAAGCAAAGCGGCATTCCAAACTAGCATGGTCTACAGCATCCATGGAAATGTCCACAGCCTTTCCTCTTCCCTCCGCTGTCCTCCTACTCAGAGGCTGTCCCCCAGCCCCACTTGCCCCCCATCCATCACCTTATCGGGACTGTATTATGGATTAATAAAATAGCTTAAGGGAGTTTTCATAAAAATTGGGCTCCAGAACTTCAGTGAGAGACAGGGAGGAAATTGGGATTGCAGGGGGCGGAGAGGAGGACAGAGAGCTGCCAGGAGCCGGATGCTCACAGTGCAAACAGTAGAGGCCTGATTTTGAGCTTGACAAACACAAGGAGCATTCCTCTGGAGCCCAAACAGGAGGGAGGGAAAAGAAATGACAAGGAAAGGGAGATAGGATCTGAGAGTCCAAAGCAATTTCCTTGGAAATTTCTTTCAATTCCCTGGGCCTTCATTGCTTTTACAATTACAAAAGTAATACATGTATTTGATATAAAAATCTGAATAGCATTTTTCTGTATATGTATATATATATATATGTATTTATACATATACATTTTCTGTAATAAGCAATTATATGCATTTTTATATGCATCATTATATGCATTTTTGCATGCTCTTAAAAATTCTTACCAAGCATGGTACGTGTTCACTGCATAATTTTCTATAATATAGAAGTATCACACTTTATTTAAGCAATCTACCAACTGTTGGGCACTTAAGATTTTTCACTTTTTTCCTATTAGAAATAACACTGGGACGAGTATCTTTGTATATGTCACTGTCCACATATATAATTATCCACAGGATTTCCTCCCCAGAGGGTTTGGGAGGTAGGATCATTTTTGAGCCTCTGATAATGTACTGCCAAGTTGTTCTCCAGAATGGCTGAGTACCTCTCTCTTCTAGGCACACATTCGTCAAGGAGATAAGGCACCATCAGCTCTAGTTTCGGATGGTGGATCCCGAGGGTATGTGCCTGAGGCTGAGGCTTTGGGTCTGCCCTGCCTGTGCCATTTCCTAGCGACACCTCCTTCATCTCTCACTCATATCCCTCCCCCCTAGAGCTGAATTCATCACCTCTTTCCTTCCCAAACAAATGGACGCTCCCAAGGACCTATGTTTGTGCGACTTTTTTGCTGGCAGAAGCCCATTCCTCTCTTCCAGTGAAGGGTGAGGACCCCTTCGAGGAAAAGGAGAGCACTTACCCTGAGTTGCAATGTAGTGCCGAGGTCGATGGTATCCCTAGATGACAGGAGAGAAGCAGAGTGAAGGGCTTCCAGTCAAAGCTCGCAAATACCATAATATTAATAGTTATCCTTTCCAAGACATGCTTTCCTCACAAGCAAAATGAGAATAGCATTAGACACTTCCCAGGGAAGTGGCAAAGATGAAATAAGTAACGTATGGCAAGCACTTATTAAATCACTAAACGTTAGCTATTATAGTAGTAACTTGGAAGGGACCCATATAGGCTTGCCTTGGAAGCAAAACTGGGTGGCTGTTACTTATGCCCATGTACGCAGACAGAGGTGGAGAAGGAACTGTGGCGTTTCTGTGGGACATAAACCACCAAAAAGTCTTTCCTGGGTCCTAACTGTGCAGAACACTGTGAGTCTCTGTAGGGCACCTGACGGAAGACAACCATTGCATCGTTGGCCCCTTGCATTAGTAACAATTAGAAAAAAAATGGGAAAGAATGCCACAGTGCCTCTCTGTGCCACACGGCGGAGCTTGGAATGGGAAGTCCCACTCACCAGGGAGGACCCCGTGCAGGTGTAACTTAGAGGCTGATAAAGCCACTTTCTGATTCAGAGGCCAGTTTCTGATATCCCTGTATATTTCAGTGTCCCAGGAGGCCCTGCCGCATCTGGTATGGGGTTACTCTGTGCTCCATAACCCTCATCATTGGGGAAGAGGTTGAAGAGAGCCTTCTCTTTTGCCTGGCTATGGTGATACATGGAGGATCCCCCTTCTAGTTCCAGAGAGGAATTCTATCACACTGGGTAGAGTAAAGTTTTGGACAAAGATTTGCATTTAGTACATACCATCAAACATAGTATTTATGGAATGAATACATGAGTGAGCGAACGAATGGATGGACAGATACTTTTTCCAAACTGCAGGTGCCAGTTACAGAGCCCTGCTGGAGGAGAGGTCATGGACAGCCCTGAAATCCATTTTGCTTTAGGGTTAACCATCTCAGGAGAAAACGAGCCCAAACCGTTGATGAATCCCTAGTTTTGTCTCCAATGTTGGTGACCCATCTTTCTGTCCTGTTGGAGGGGAGGGGATGAGCTGCCTCCAGGCCCTCTCACTCAGGAAATGAGCCAGAATTACCATCTGTATGGTTTATGGTGAAACAGACAGAGGCATCTTTCCAGTTCTGGATCCGCTGTCCGATTCAAAGACTTGTTTTTGAGCCCCCAGTGTATTTCTCCACTTCAATCTTCCCCTTGCTCCTTAAATACCTAGTACGTACCTTCCCATTGCTGGGCATACTCTAGAGATGCCAGAGTTCACTGTCAGCACCAAGCCAGGGCCGGCGGCGTGGCCAGAACTGCTGGATTAACCACAGTCCCTAGGAATCAACAGCCCCACCTAAATAAATCTGTTTGCTAACTTCTTAGTGAAGTTATCAGTTTCTTGAGGACAAATACTGCCTCCTCTAAGTTTTAAAAAAAATTTCTATAGAGTCTCATACAGTGTGAGACTCAGAACAAATGTCCAATGAACAAGTGGCTGGGAGCACAGTTAAATAAGGTAGGGCTGGAGGAGGTCGTGTGCACACACTCTGGACCCGATGGCCTGGGTTTGAATCCTGACTCTGACCCTTAGGAGCTGTGTGGTCTGGAGCTAACACTTAACCTCCTTGTGCCTCTGTTGCTTTTTTGCCGTCAAATGAGGGTACTTAGATTTACAATACAGTGTTTCTATTAAGATTATATGGCAGTTACTATGCACCAGGCACTATAGTCTAAGATTTAACATACATACTATCTTATTGTCATCTGGCAAACATTTATTGGGTGCCTACCATGACTGCTTGGGAGATGGTGAGATCAGAAGCTCTTCCCCCCTCACCGCTCTGCCTCTAATGCAAAACGGAGCCCCCTCTGACACATGAGAAGTAGGAAGGGAGGTGAGAGGGACCAGGAGTTCTCTGTTCCTTCAAGTCAAGATGGACAGGGTTTCCCAAGCTTGCAGGAAGAATTAGACACTGGGAATTTTCTCGAGTAGGTTTCAGAACAGAAAATAGTCCCCTAGAGTGTAGAAGGATGTGGTTTCTCAGGCCCACCCTCTTCCATCAGCCACATCGTCACTCCCAGTTACAGACCTTGTCCTTCCTGACCCAGGCCACAGCACTGGCCGCTTGCTGGCCTCCCTGCCTCCAGTCTGGTCCCATCCGCGCATCTGCCTCTGACTGGAGTGAACTCTCCAGTGCACATCGGATTATGTTCTTTCCCCACCCAACAGCCTGCAATGGCTCCCCGCGGTGTGTGCAGTCATGTCCGGATGTCCCAGCTCAGGACTAATCACCCGTCTCTAGCCTCAGTGCCAGGTGTCCCTCTCCATGCCCTCCCACGGGCCCTATGTCCCAGCTTCCCGGCACCACCCCTCCAATGAGAACTCCTGCCTCCTGAGCAGTCCTGCAGGCTTCTGCATGTGCCCAACGAAACACGTAGCACGTGAGCTGCAATACGGTTTTGTACTTTTCTCCCCTTGGGCCATGGCGCCTGCACTCAGAGCCGGGGGCAGCTTTCAGCAAAGGCCAGTGGGTGGCATACATGCATAAACAGGTCTCCGAGGTGAGGCTGGGGCACTCTTAGTGGCGTTCCTGTTTCCTCCCCTCCGGCAGCATGCCTGGTTCCTACCACTCTTCCCCTGGCTCACAGGCCGTCTTGCTCTTCTTCAGACACAGGAGTCATGTTTCCATCCAGAGGCCTTTGCACAGGCCATTCCCTGTGCAGGCTGCATCTGTCCCCGCTGAGCTCGGTGGTTTGCTCTCTCCCTCCAGCCAGGCTTCCGCTTGGCTGTCAGTCACCTCACAGAGAGCCTCCCCTGACCACCATGTAGGCCTCTCTCACGTTTCTCTGGTTTACTTTTCTTCAGGGCACTTATCACTCAAGGGCAGAATGTTCCTTGTTTATGGACATGCTCACTGTCTGTCTCTGCAGCGGAATGAGAGGGCTGACAGGGCAGGGCTGTATCCGGTTTGCTCGTGGCTTTGTCCCCAGCACCGACAAGTCGGCCTGGGCCATCAGCCTTGATAAATGCGTATCGAATGCATGCATGCATGCTGTGGGCCTGTCTGCACACTGCATGGGAGTCAAAAGGCCCTCTCTGGTCTCCAAGACCCCATCGAGTTCCCAAAGAGAAAACGTTCTAACCACGAGATTCCTCAGCAACGGAGATAAAAGGAAATGTATTGCTTGACTGGGGCTTTACTGGGGCTTTGCCAAGAACTGGTTCAGGAAACTTCCTAACCTTAAAAGAACTTTGAGTTCATTTAAGTCCCACTCACACAGCACACAGATCGACTGCAAACCAGCACCGGGCCTGCCTCCATCCGTCTGTGAGCAATGGGAAAGAGGCTTGCATCCAAAACGCATTTATCTCACTCTGAACTCATGCATCTGTTACTTACTGGGGACCCAGATACGATATTTATTTCCAGACTGGTAATTTATAACAGATTCAAGTGGCCAATACATTCTCGGGTGTGCAAACAAACCCGCCAGTGGGATGGTTCGGATGGTAGCAGCACCATGGCCTCTGGAGACACAGACAGGGCTGGCCCCATCCAGCTCATTATCCAAATGGAGTTGTTTCAATGGATCGTCAAGATCCAATTGTGGATAAATGATTCCAGCGTGGGCAGTTAGCTCTTCTGAGAGCAAACGTCCAGGACGATTTCGGGGGGGTGGGGCGGGGAGAGCAGGGCAAAAGAGTGAGGACCTAGAAAGCTATGTAGTGTGTGTCTTGCCAGAAATCCCCAAAAGGACTACAGGAATTTTAAGTTTGCTGGAGTACACAGTAGGCTCAGAAATCATGGGATTCCCCATCCCCCGTTCCGCCCCATATTGGTAACAGAGTGCTAGGAGGCGCTTGTGCTTGGTGTCTTCTCCACCGCCCCCTTCCCCCATGTTCCCACTTCTCCCTTTCAGACTGCTCTGTGCTGTGGGATGGATGCTGACCTGTACGGACTACATCATGGGGTTCCATGGCTTCTGGTTTCCAGTTGGGTCCAGCCAACAGGGGAGCCGAAGCAGGCCATAGGGAGGCTGGGGTGTATGTCTTCTAGATCTGCCCCTGTCGGGCCACTGAGGTTAGCGCTGACTGTCAGAGGCTTCTGCTTCTAACTCGGGGATACTGCACCCCACCCTGTTGGTTTCCCTTAACTCTGTTCCTACCTTGCTAACCCCCTCCCCTCCCCCCCCCCCCGTTACTCCCTTTGAGTGAGCCTCTGTTTCCTAATGGGAGACTGACAGATATGTTGGTTATCATATTCTGCCAGGGTAGCATTATTATCCCACTTTACAGACAGCAGAACAAGTAAATAAGATCATAAGGCTAGTAAGCAGAAAGGCCTGGACTCAATAGGCCCCACAACAGCTGAATTCATGACTCTGGTCTCGTGACCTTTTGACTCTAACCACTGAGATCCAGCAGAAGCCAATGTCACATATGAAGACAGCATCTTATAGAGGCTGTTTGGCCTATTTGCACAATCCACTTCTCTGAGAGGGAGAAGGTGGTGGGGTATCCTTAGTGCATGAGAACAGGATTCTAGCCATGTAACCTTGAGCAAGGATCTTAACCTCAACCCCTGGTTTCTTATCCTTAGAGGCTTACAGAATGCACTGCAATGATAGAACCTGGCAGGAATGGGAGGTGTTTTCGGTGTTGATGTCACAGAGATTCACCTGCATTTGAAGCAATTTCACTTGTTGCCTGTAATGTACCAAAGTGCCTCTTGGCTCTGACTATAGTCAGATGCTTATGCAACTTTGTTTATCTAGGGAAGCGTCTCTCTAGGAAAGTAACTTTTGTGGGAGGGTTACCACTCAGATGACAAATGCTATATATGGCACCTTGGGCTGGCAGACCCCATGTGGGCCTTTGGGGTTGCCACAAGTACTCGGCTGTAGACGAGGTCAAGGGGAAACTGGAAGGAACTAGTTCGGTCTGGTTAACTGCATCCTGAGTCCCCACTATGTGCTGGATGCAAGGTGCTGTCTGGGAGTAGATGGGGAGGGACAGGAGGAAAGGCCCCAGACTGGGAGCTATTCCGGTCTGGTTCCTAGTTTGCTTTTGCTGCTGAGCAGATGCATGGCCTTACTAAGGCTCTGTAATCTCCTTAAACTTTTTTTTGGAGAGGGGGAGGGAGAGAGAGACAGAGAGGTGGAGAGAAAGGACAGAGGGAGAGGGAGAGAGAATCCCAATCAGCCTCCACGCACAGCACAGAGCCTGACAGGGGGCTCCATCTCACAACCCTGAGATCATGACCCGAGCTGAAACCAAGAGTTGGATGCTTAACTGACAGAGCCACCCAGGTGCCCTAAGCTTTGTAATCTCTTTCAACCTCAGCTTCTCTTTCTGAAAAATGGGGATGATTCCCTAACTTGGGGAATTATTGAGGGGCCTCCATAAACTGACTCCTTTACAACCACCCACCACAGGGCCCAAACATGACTCATTTAGATCCACTGGCTGTTGTCATGGCTTTACTGTTATTATTTAAGCCAGCAGAACACGGTGGGGAAGCCACCCCTGATTCAGACTCCTGCTCCCTCCTCCTCTACATCCTAGCAGTGTGATCCTGGATAAGTTACATAACTAATCGAGAGCCTCAGCTAGCTCATCTGGAAATGGGTAGTAACAGCACTTACTTTGTGGGGTTGCGGTACCTAGTCAAGTAATGTTGAAACACAAGAGGTGATCTTAGGTTACTATCAGTCCTTCTTGTCTGTTGGACTCTTACTCATTGGCTGAGGCAGCACTGTGTCACCTCCTCCAGGAAGGCTCCCCTGACTAGCCAACCCCACCCCAACCAAAGCTTTGGTTTTCCTTTATGTTCACACAGGCCCTGCTCTGTGAGGGTCTCTTTTCTTACCCAACTCCCTCACCAGACCTGAGTCCCCTTTCAGGTCTGCATTTCCAGCAGACACTGGAGGACCTGCTTAGTGTTTGAGAAGTGAATACTAGATGCATGAGGGAGAGGCCGGAGCTGTGGTGGGCAGATACTCAGAGTGCTTTGTCCAGGCTCGAGACAGGCTGCTCTGAACTGGCCATGTCCTTGTGAACTTTCCTGGGAGGGCCACGAGGACAGAGACTGTGTCTACCTCGGCTTCCACTGAAGCTCCAGCCCCAGGTCCTGACCACGGGAAGGCCCTTTACAAGCCAGGGCCCCGGTGGGGGCTCGAGACCACTCTGGGTGTTTCAGACGCAGGGAATTCAGCATGGGGTGCTGACGACATTGGTGACAGGGGAGCTGAGATGCTAACCAGGGGGCAGAGGGGTGACGCAGAGATTGGCACCAGCAGGAGACTGTGACAACCCCCGGAACTAGCGGACGACGGGAGACAGAGAAGCTGCCAGACCCCGGAGCTGGGGCTGCCGGGCAGAGGCGGGAATTCTGGTGGGTCTGCCTGGTAGAAGCTGGTGCCACAGCTGGGATGCGGCCCTTGCCAGATATGCTACCCGAGGAAGTGAGGGAGGAGCCGGACACCAGCTCTCCTTTCGCCCTCCAATCTCCCATCAGTGCCCTCCCTGTCGGGGCCGGCTTGCCCTCCTTCCTGCCACAACACACACACACTCACGCACACATACTCACAGGTACACTCTGTCACACACATACTCAGATAAGCAATGCAAAGCAGAACGGGGAAGGCCGAGAAATGGATCTGAGAATAAACAGACAAATGACTACCACAAAGCTCAATAAATTTCTGTAGAATCAATGAATCATCTGGATCAGCCTAGATTAGGGGGATTTCACGCGCACACCATTCCACTTCATAGCCTGTCTACAGAAACACTTGGGTGTCAGAGGGACCAAGGTGATCTCTGCCATTTGTCAAGGCCCCCAGGCTCCTAACTGAGGTCCTGAGAAGCCCGGCTTGCACGGGTTATGAAAGGACGTCCATTTGTCCGTGGTGGCCATGCTCCCCCTTTGCAGACTCTCTCATTTCCATGGTGAAGCAGCCCCTTTCCTAACTGGGCATCTGAATCCTGTATTCTCCTCCCTCGGATTAATCTTACCCTTGGCGATAGATAAATGATCCCAAAGCTCAGATCTGCACTGATCACCTCCATGATCAAAAATTTCCAATAGAGTTCTCTTGCCTCCAGAATCAAGTCCGGCTGTCTAAGTTTGTTCGTAAACCACCGATGATCTAGCTCCAACCTTATTTTCCACTAGTCCCATGACATGGTCTCTGCTTTCCTCAACCTGAGCTGCTACATACTCTCTGCTTCCAGGTGCTACATTTTGGCTTGTGCTGTTCTAACTAGAGGCCCTTCTTCCCCCTCTTTAATTTTAAATTCATCCTGTGCTTGGAGCTTTGGTTCATATCACATTTTGCATTCCTGATGGAAGAAGCGATTTTTTCCCCCCACCTCTGAATCCCTGCAGCATTTTATCTGAACATATGACACTTACCACTTTCCAGTTTGCCCTGGAATTATTGATGTGCATAGCTTATCTTCCTGCTCAGGTTTTAAAGGGTAGAGACCATGGCGCTTTTAGTTTTATGGTTCCCATAGCATCCGGCACACAGCAGGGACTTTTAAATTTGTGTTGCATAAATGGCTATACCTTCAAATGAATGAATGGATGGACAAACAGACACACGTACAAATGAATTAATGGGTGAATGAACAAGACGGGCAGCTGTCCTGGGGCCCCACAGAGCAGGCTACTCCAGCCAGCCCCAAAGAGGATGCAGCTTCCGATGGATAATCAATGTAGGTTATGCTAATTACACAAATCAGGGAGGCCCCAGACCCCTCTGGACACGTTCTGGGAGGGCCACCTTGTGGGGGAGGGAGGCTGGAGGACAGCCACAGGTCTCGAGCCTGCTACAACCAACCCCAGAGCCCGGCTGCCCAGCCCCGTGAAGACTCTCACATCAATGTAGTTGGCGTTGATGTAGTCAGAATGCGGGTCTCCGTCCAGCACCAGCAGCCTCACCCGGGAATGGTCGTCTGCAGAGAGAGAGCAGAAAACAAGGGGCGGGGGTGGGAGTAGAAAGGAGCCTGCGGTGAGGGGCCAGCACTGCCCTCCTGCAGAGCTACCATGCATTAGTAGTATGGGCATCGTGCTGCTTCTCACACACCCTCTCATTTGACCCCTGGCGCCACCCCATTATCATCCCCATTTACAGATGAGGCAGCTGAGGCTCAGGGAGATCACTGTGCCTTAAAAAGCACTGTGTGTTTTCCTTCTCTTTTTTCCACCTGCCCTTCTAGTTCTAGTTATGACCCACCTGTGTGAGTTGCCTTTCTTCTTTAAGTCTTAGTGATTTTGTCATTAAAAGGGCAGTAGAAATACCTTCTTCACACGACAGTGCAAGAGAGATCAAAATACTCAGGAGGCGAGAAGTGTCGGATATGAACTAACATGCTCTGTTTTCATTATTGCATAAAAATGGCAAATTTACCTATTTTCCACATGTGTGCAAATGCTTTTCTTTTGCCTTTCGGAGAATTGTTGCAAATAGATTGTTGGCCACATATTGTTATCAATACAACCATTCAAGGGAAGCTGGCTCCATCATTATAAAAGAGGTCATCAATAACTAAAAACGTGGTCTGGAGAATATCATTTCAGGCACAATCCAGGCATAAACAAGATTTGCAGGGTCTAGTCAATGGCACATTTACTTTAAATAACGTCAAATAAACACCATTAAAAAAAACAAAACAAAACAAAACCCTTGCACAGAAGAATCAGGCCAATCCTTTACAACTAATTAGAGCGCGCTATGACGCACTAACAGATGCACACAAACAGAACACCCTGGCTGGGTCTGGTGGGAGCAGGGGCTCAGCTTGCTGTCTGGGTCCCTGTCACCCATCGCTGCATGTCCCTGCCTCCACTATCCGGTCTAGGACAGGGCTAGGGTTCCTGCTAAGGCATATGCAGCCCTTTGCAGTTTACAGGCACATCTAGTACTACGAACCGGAAGCCCCCGAGAACAGGGCCATTAGCACTCTGTTCCCTGTTTCATCCCCTGTGCCTCCACCTGCAGCAGGCGCTCCACAAATCTTTAGTGAGCATATGAGTGGATCACCTTGTTGGACTCTCACCGCGATCCCAGGAGACAAGCAGCATAGCCCTGTTACAAATGAGGACAGCGAGGCTCACATGGACTGACTGGCCACATGGCCTGTGAGTGGTGGAACTTGAAAGAGCGGGTTCTCTGAACTCTGAGCTCAGACACTCCTGCTTCCAAAGAGGGGTCTAAGCAGGATACTGGAAACGGCTTCAAGTGTACATGGCAGGGGGATTAATGCCAGAGAACTGGCCATCTGGTGATGGAAGAGCTGAGAAGCCAGAGAGAGGCTGCGTAACTCAGAGACCAGCACTAGCGAGGAGACATTGCCTCCCAGGGGATGGCGGGGCAGATGGAGGAGGCGAGGTTATCAGAGGTGAGGGCTGGGGCCCCTGTGGAAACTGGAGCCCATGAGCCTCTATGGTGGGAGCTGGAGAAAAAGAGGAGCCTCTCTCGCTGCTATAGGAGGAGTCTAACTGGGACAGAGTGGGAGACATACCCCGGCTTCTTCCTTTCCCTGACTTCCAATCTCCCACCAGGGCATGTCCTTGGCCAAAGCCAGCCAGCCAGATGCCAGCTGGCAAGAGACTGGGAAATGCAACCTATGGGTTGAACCCACACGTCAGTTGAAGAGGAGAAGGCAAGGAATGGGTCCGAGGATGGACAAACATGCCCAGGACTGGACAGGACGCTACTTCATATCCATTAAATAATTCAAAAAATTCGTCCTTGACCGTGTGCCAGGCTCTATGATAGATACAGAGGTATACCAGATGCCACTTTTCTTACTCCTCATGGGCACGAGTGGCAAGTGGGAGGTCTAACTCATCTCTTTGGGGGTGGTGGGGGGAGTGGGGTGTGAAGTCAGAAGTCTGAAGTTCACCTTTATGGAGTTCACGGCCGGTATTAGACTTTACAGACATGATCTCACTCAATCATTTGTTCTTCAACATAGCTCTGTAGATTACTGCAATAATACCATGATGATAGAGTATGTTGATTCTTCCCATTTCACAGATGAAGAAACAGAGACTCAGAGAAGTTAAGCACATTCCCAATGTTATGCAGCCTGCACGGGGCAGAGCTGGGATTCTATCTCAGGTCTGTCTGAACCCAAACCCCTGCTCCATCTACCCACGGTGCTGTCCCTGGACTTCTAGCATCCAGCAGGCACTGCTCCTGGAGTCCGTGCAAATGGTTGGTCCCAGATTCTGCAGTATTCTGGCCCTAGGAGTGGGACCTCCCAGGGGACCACCATCCTGCTCCAGGAGCAAGGAGTCAGACAAGGCCCAGCGCCTGACTCCGAGCTGAGACTGTTAAGCCCCATTACCCGTGGTTACAAAAACGATAAGCCTTAAAAAAGTAAAAATGCACATTGTGCTTTCACTCATTGGTCTCACTAATGACTTATTTAAAAATCTCCTTTATTTATTGAGTTATGACTGCCCCTGGGGTCTATAGCACTAGAAACAGAGATTCTGGTTTAAAATGTGGAGAGGGAATTTTCTTTAACATAAAACGAAAGTTAAAATCTGAAAGCAAAAATGATTTAAAAAACCAATAAGAAACAAACTTACTTAAGTTAAATATTCTTAAAGATGAAAGGGGCCTCTACCCACCAGAGGATGGTGTTTCTTGGTATTTTGTCTTCATCCATTCATGAAGAACCTACTATGTGCAGGCTGGTTGAATGGCCTAAGGAAGTATTGTCAAAATGATACTCATGCTTAAGGAATTTGTCGGTGTCGTGCGGGAGACAGATTGTACACAGAAGTAGAACTCCAAGGTCCAGAAAGTGGAGAAAGGAGGGCTTTGTGAAGTAGTATGTGAATGAGGAATTTAAAGTAGGCTAAGACTTGACCAGTGGACAGTGAGGAAGGGTCCTTCCATCAGAGGGTACAAGGAAAGTGAAGACAGTGCTCCTGAAAAAGCAAGCACACTGGGGAGGCTGAAAACCATTTCCTGTCTTGTGGACACAGTGTGAGGGGATTAGCAACATGAGAAGAGAGAGAGGCGGTAGGCGGGGTTGGGTTACAGAGGGCTCTCCACCCTGTATTGAGGCACTTAGATGCAAATACCCATGCTGGGCTCTGCAAGGCATCCAAATACGATACCTCTATTTTCTGAGGCTGTGAAAGGTTATTTTATTATGCAGTGACCAAGATTCATTTCCAGAGGGCTAACCTGAGGCAAATGGGATACAGCGATGATGTAAGGTATGAAGCTGAGGGTCAGACCTGGGTTCAAATCTTAGCCCTATCACTTAGTAAGTCAATTGAGCTCTCTTAGCTTGGGTTGCTTAGCAAAGTGGAGTCAATACTATGTAGCTCATGGAGTGCTGGGGTGGGGGGGATTAAATGAGAAAATGTAAGCATGAAAAGTGTGAGGGCCTTAAAGAGAATGAAAAGACAAGCCACAGACTGGGAGAAAATATTTGCAGAATATCAGATAAAGGACTTGTATCCATAATATACAAAGAACTCTTAAATTCAACAACAAGAAAACAACCCTATTAAAAAATGGGCAAAAGGTCTGAACAGACACCTCAGCAAAAAAGATATACAGATGGCAAATAAGTGTATAAAACTAAGTATATAAAAAATGTTCAACATCATATGTTATTAGGGAATTTCAAATTAAAACAACAACGAGGTATCTCTATAACACCTACTAGAATGGCCCAAGTCCAGAACAGTGACAACACCAAATGCTGGTGAGGATATGGAACAATAGGAACTCTCGGTTCACTGCTGGTGGGAATGCAAAACGGTATAGCCACTTTGGGAGACAGTTTGGCAGTTTCTTTTAAAACTAAACATACTCTTATCATATGATTCCAGCAATTGCTGTCTTTGGTATTTACCCAAATGAGTTGGAAACTTATGTCCACACAAAAACTTGCACACAAATGTTTATAGTAGCTTCACTCACAACTGCCAAAACCTAGGAAAAAACAAAAACAAAAAGCAAAAAACCAAGATGTCCTTCAATACATGAAAGGATAGACAAATAAATGTATACCCAGACAGTGGAATATCATCCAGTGATGTCTAGAGATGAATGATCAAGCCATGAAAAGACATGGAGGAAACATACATGCCTACTGCTAAGGGCACAAGTGAGTCTGCAAAGGCTTCATACTGTGTGATTCCACCTCTATGACACTCTGGTATGGACACGGTAAACAAGCAGTGGCTGCCAAGAGGACTTGGGAACAGGATGAACAGGTGGGACAGGGGCGTTTTAGGGCCCTGAAATGATTCTGTAGGATACTGTACTGGTGGATACATGTCATTACACATTTTTAAAATCCCACTGAACTGCACAACACAAAGAATAGACTCTAAACTACGGACTTTAGCTAATAATAATGGATCAAGACTGGTTCATTAATTGTAACAAATGTATCACACGGAAACGAGGTGTTAATAATGGGAATCTGAATGTGGGAGGGAGGCAGGCAGCACACGGGAACTCTCTCTGTACGTTCTGCTCACTTCCTCTGAAACCTAAGAGTGCTCTAAAAAAAAAAAGTACTCGGACAGTGCCTGGTATGCAGCAGGTGCTTAATAAATGGTGGTTCTGGGCTGGACGTGAGGCTCAGGGCTGAGATGCTTAGGAATGCGGTGTTCCCCACTTGCCCTTCTGTACCACATATAAATCCACCTTCTGCAGAGGCAAGGAGCTATGGTGAGTATTCTCGAAAGGGAAGAATTCAGCCGTTGGGCCTACCAGAAAGGCTTTGCAAGGAATAGCAGTGTCCTCATGGTGTATTTATTCCTTCTGGGAGATGCTAATATTATTCTGTGTCCCCCTCTTCTTCTAACTTTACATAATTAGAAGGATAAAAAATTGTGTTTATCCACAGGCACATGCAGAAAGATGGGGCAGCGGGCGATGTGAAGGAGTTTATACAAGGTAATTTACAAG